ACCAAGCGTGACAACCCAACATGACAACCTAGCATGACAACCCAGCATGACAACCCAGTGTGAGAATATATACACCGATACGCCCACACAAAGATAACTAAAGTAACGTGTTTGTCCCAAGGATATAAGCCAATGTTAGAGCGTAGGTCACATGATACACTGTTTGGGGTCTACATCGATGTATGGCCCAAATCATTTATTTCTGTTTGAATTGTGAGCATAAAAAATCTTCAAAAATATTTTTGTCTGTGTAAAACCTAATGCAACAAACTCGTGCTACCGCAGAATCTCTACACTAAACTGTTGATAAAGATACAGAGATTTCACGTTATAAATAATAAAGACGGGGTGTTGCTAAACTTTTTTTCAGGTGTATATTTGTGAGTCCCAGATGTGACCTACTTGCACTCAACAGAATAACGACACGAGGCATGCTTGACTTTCAAGAATTTTAATGAGGTCATAACACCACGAAACCACCTGCCCTAAATTATATTTCAATGTTTCCTTGTTGAAACTTTGGATTGAATGAATAAAAGTGTTGACTATTTATTATAAGAACAGAAATATTTTTTACATCTATGTATGCTGCATTTGAACCAGTTTAATGATTCAACAACAGCTTTGTGTTTTTTCGTCTCGAAGGACGACCACTTATTACACTCGTACGACGACGCAGTATTGTACACCTGGCGAAACCCTGTAGGTCTTTCAATTAATAATAGGTCTATCAATATCATAGGGGGCTGGTGTATATTAGGTATCTTTTAGACTCGCAATCTTGATTGAACATTAATTGTTTATACATTTTCAGCAGGTAATTGGACTACTGCTGGCAGATAGCAAAGAAGCAACACCACCAACCCACACCCCTACCCCCCTCCTCGCCCCCCCCCCCCCCCCCCCCTTCATGTTTTGCTGTTTCGTTTTTTACCTCTCCATGGGAAACTTTAATTTTTAAATACAGAACCTATCACAGCGTTACAAAAAATAGATGAAGCAGTGTGTAGAATTACCCCCCTGAACTTTAGCACCCCCTCTGTGGTGCCCCCTGGTCGGTGAGTTTCGGGTGTTTGTGATAACATTAATAATTCATCAATGAGTTATTGGCGTACTACTTGGTGTTAGGGAGATAGCATCTCATTTCTCTTTGAGAAAAACTCAACTGCAGGCGGTGATATAGAGACAATGATTAATTAATGAAGCTCATCAGGGCGGTGTGTATTTCAAAGAGCAAACACATTTACGTCATTGTATGTTGCCGGTGAAATAATCATGATCTTTTCCAGGAAACTAATTAAAGTTTATCTGGGCTTTGATAGACGCGTCGTCAGAGAGCCCTGACAACCGGAGCAGCTTGATTCAACCGGGCAGCGTTCTTTCAAAGTAGGAGACGGTGCAGGGTGGCCATAGGGGGTAAGGCTCACGTGCACTTGAGGTTGGTGGTTCTTTTGCGTTACTGGGGTTGATGAGGTAGTTTATGGTGTTGGTGTGAGGGTGAGGGTGATGAGTTTGAGCCATGAAATATTTAAAATAATGTTTTTCATCATCTTGCGGGTCATTTTAAACATGCCGTATTGAGAAACCCACGAGTACAGGTATAATCGAGACACTGTACAAATGTGTTTAGAACGTAAACACATACAAGACATGCGTGTAACTCCTAAACGGAATACACATTTAGGGTCAAAACACTTGAAATGAGCTATCTTCTCACAGCCTGAAGACCGCTCAACACAACATCAGAACCACAGGGGTCCTGACTACCTCACTACCACACTACCACTGGGACCCACTACCTCACTACCACTGGGACCTCACTACCTCACCACCATGGGGACCTCACTACCTCACTACCACGGGGACCTCACTACCACGGGGACCTCACTACCACGGGCACCTCACTACCACGGGGACCTCACTGACACACTACCACTGGGACCTCACTACCACGGGGACCTCACTCCCTCAATACCACAGGGGACCTCACTACGACACTACCACTGGGACCTCACTACGACACTACCACTGGGACCTCACTACCACACTACCACTAGGACCTCACTATCTCACTACCACGGGGACCTCACTACCACACTACCACGGGGACCTCACTACCACGGGCATCTCACTACCACTGGGACCTAACTAATTCACTACCACGGGGACCTCACTACCTCACTACCACTGGGACCTCACTACCTCACTACCACGGGAACCTCACTACCACGGGGGACCTCACTACGACACTACCACTGGGACCTCACTACCTCACAACCACGGGGACCTCACTACCTCAATACTACTGGGACGTCACTACCTCACAGGGGGCACGGGTGGCCCAGTCGTCTAAGGCGCCGCGATTCGCTGTGCAGAGTTGCGTCCCCTGGGCACGCCAGAAACCGTTGATTGTGGGTTCGAATCCCGGTTCGCCCCGATTATGTTTCTAGGTTTGTCAGCACCATACCCGTGCTCGTGGGTTTCACCGAAGTGGTTAACGTCTGAGACCTACATCTCTTCGGGCTTTCCTCCGACATTATGCTGACACGCCGCGATATAACTGGAATACTGTTAAAAGCGGCGTTAAACACAACTCACTCACTCACTCACTCACTACCTCACTACCACGGGGACCTCACTACCACACTACCACTGGGACCTCACTATCTCACTACCACGGGGACCTAACTACCACACTACCACGGGGACCTCACTACCATGGGCATCTCACTACCACTGGGACCTCACTACCTCACTACCACGGGGACCACACTACCACACTACCACTGGGACCTCACTACCTCACAACCATGGGGACCTCACTACCTCACTACCACGGGGACCTCACTACGACACTACCACAGGGACCTCACTTCCTCACTACCACGGGGACCTCACTACCACACTACCAATTGGACCTCACTACCTCACTACCACGGGGACCTCACTACCTCACTACCACCGGGACCTCACTACCTCACTACCACGGGGACCTCACTACCTCACTACCACGGGGACCTCACTACGACACTACCACCAGGACCTCACTACCACTGGGACCTCACTACCTCACTACCACCGGGACCTCACTACCTCACTACCACGGGGACCTCACTACCTCAATACTACTGGGACGTCACTACCTCACAGGGGGCACGGGTGGCCCAGTCGTCTAAGGCGCCGCGATTCGCTGTGCAGAGTTGCGTCCCCTGGGCACGCCAGAAACCGTTGATTGTGGGTTCGAATCCCGGTTCGCCCCGATTATGTTTCTAGGTTTGTCAGCACCATACCCGTGCTCGTGGGTTTCACCGAAGTGGTTAACGTCTGAGACCTGCATCTCTTCGGGCTTTCCTCCCACATTATGCTGACACGCCGCGATATAACTGGAATACTGTTAAAAGCGGCGTTAAACACTACTCACTCACTCACTCACTCACTACCTCACTACCACGGGGACGTCACTACCTCAATACCACAGGGGACCTCACTACGACACTACCACTGGGACCTCACTACCACACTACCACTCGGACCTCACTACCTCACTACCACGGAGACCTCACTACCACACTACCACTGGGACCTCACTACCTCACTACCACGGGGATCTCACTACCTCAATACCACAGGGGACCTCACTACGACACTACCACTGGGACCTCACTACCTCACTACCACGGGGACCTCACAACCTAAATACCATTGGGACGTCACTACCTCACTACCTCAATACCACAGGGGACCTCACTGCAATGGGGACCTCGCTTCCGCAGGGACCACACTGCAATAGGCACCTCACTGCCACGGGCACCCCACTACAACAGGGACCCCACGGCCACACTGCAACAGGGACCTCACGGCCACACTACAACATGGACCCCACTACAACAGGGACCTCACGGCCACACTACAACAGGGACCTCACGGCCACATACAACAGGGACCTCACTACAACAGGGACCTAACAGGGACCTCACTACAACAGGGACCTCACTACAACAGGGACCTCACGGCCATATTACAACAGGGACCTCACGGCCACACTACACCAGGGACCTCACTACCTAAATACCATTGGGACGTCACTACCTCACTACCTCAATACCACAGGGGACCTCACTACAATGGGGACCTCGCTTCCGCAGGGACCACACTGCAATAGGCACCTCACTGCCACGGGCACCCCACTACAACAGGGACCTCACGGCCACACTACAACATGGACCCCACTACAACAGGGACCTCACGGCCACACTGCAACAGGGACCTCACGGCCACACTGCAACAGGGACCTCACGGCCACACTACAACAGGGACCTCACGGCCACATACAACAGGAACCTCACGGCCACATTACAACAGGGACCTCACTACAACAGGGACCTCACGGCCACACTACAACAGGGACCTCACTACAACAGGGACCTCACGGCCACACTACAACAGGGACATCACTACAACAGGGACCTCACGGCCACACTACAACAGGGACCTCACGGCCACACTACAACAGGGACCTCACTACAACAGGGACCTCACGGCCACACTACAACAGGGACCTCACGGCCACACTACAACAGGGACATCACGGCCACACTACAACAGGGACCTCACTACAACAGGGACCTCACGGCCACACTACAACAGGGACCTCACGGCCACATACCACAGGGACCTCACGGCAACACTGCAACAGGGACCTCACGGCCACACTACAACAGGGACCTCACTACAACAGGGACCTAACAGGGACCTCACTACAACAGGGACCCCACTACAACAGGGACCTCACGGCCATATTACAACAGGGACCTCACGGCCACACTACACCAGGGACCTCACTACCTAAATACCATTGGGACGTCACTACCTCACTACCTCAATACCACAGGGGACCTCACTACAATGGGGACCTCGCTTCCGCAGGGACCACACTGCAATAGGCACCTCACTGCCACGGGCACCCCACTACAACAGGGACCTCACGGCCACACTACAACATGGACCCCACTACAACAGGGACCTCACGGCCACACTGCAACAGGGACCTCACGGCCACACTGCAACAGGGACCTCACGGCCACACTACAACAGGGACCTCACGGCCACATACAACAGGAACCTCACGGCCACACTGCAACAGGGACCTCACTACAATAGGGACCTCAAGGCCACATTACAACAGGGACATCACGGCCACACTACAACAGGGACATCACTACAACAGGGACCTCACGGCCACACTACAACAGGGACCTCACTACAACAGGGACCTCACGGCCACATTACAACAGGAACCTCACGGCCACACTGCAACAGGGACCTCACTACAACAGGGACCTCACGGCCACACTACAACAGGGACCTCACGGCCACACTACAACAGGGACATCACGGCCACACTACAACAGGGACCTCACTACAACAGGGACCTCACGGCCACACTACAACAGGGACCTCACGGCCACATACCACAGGGACCTCACGGCAACACTGCAACAGGGACCTCACGGCCACACTACAACAGGGACCTCACGACCACACTACAACAGGGACCTCACTACAACAGGGACCTCACATCAACACTGCAAAAGGGACCTCACGGCCACACTACAACGGGGACCTCACGGCCACACTTCAACAGGGACCTCACTACAACAGGGACCTCACGGCCACACTTCAACAGGGACCTCACGGCCACATACAACAGGGACCTCACGGCCACACTACAACAGGGACCTCACGGCCACACTTCAACAGGGACCTCACGGCCACACTTCAACAGGGACCTCACGGCCACATACAACAGGGACCTCACGGCCACACTACAACAAGGATGCCACACTTCAACAGGGACCTCACTACAACAGGGACCTCACATCAACACTGCAAAAGGGACCTCACGGCCACACTACAACGGGGACCTCACGGCCACACTACAACAGGGACCTCACGGCCACACTACCACACTGACCTCACTACCACACGGACCTCACTACCACAGGGACCTCACTACAACAGTTGCCTCACTACCACAGGCACCTCACTACAACAGGGACCTCACTACAACAGTGGCCTCACTACCACAGGCAACTCACTACAACAGGGACCTCACTACCACAGGCACCTCACTACAACAGGGACCTCACTACAACAGTGGCCTCACTACCACAGGGACCTCACTACCACAGGCACCTCACTACAACAGGGACCTCACTACAACAGTGGCCTCACTACCACAGGCAACTCACTACAACAGGGACCTCACTACAACAGTGGCCTCACTACCACAGGCAACTCACTACAACAGGGATCTCACTACAACAGTGGCCTCACTACCACAGGCACCTCACTACAACAGTGGCCTCACTACAACAGGGACCTCACTACCACAGGCACCTCACTACAACAGGGACCTCACTACAACAGTGGCCTCACTACCACAGGCAACTCACTACAACAGGGACCTCTCTACCACGGGGACCTCACTACCACAGGGATCTCACTACAACAGGGACCTCACAACCACGGGGACCCCACTACAACAGGGACCTCACTACAACAGGGACCACACTGCCACAGTGACCTCACTACCACAGGGACCTCACTACAACAGGGACCTCACTACCACAGGGGACCTCACTAGAACAGTGAGCTCACTACCACAGTGACCTCACTACCACGGGGACCTCACTGCACCAGGGACCACACTACCACACGGACCTCACTACCACAGGCACCTCACTACCATAGGGACCTCACTACAACAGTGGCCTCACTACCACAGGCACCTCACTACAACAGGGACCTCACTACAACAGTGGCCTCACTACCACAGGCAACTCACTCCAACAGGGACCTCTCTACCACGGGGACCTCACTACCACAGGGACCTCACTACAAGAGGGACCTCACAACCACGGGGATCTCACTACAACAGGGACCACACTGCCACAGTGACCTCACTACCACAGTGACCTCACTACAACAGTGACCTCACTACCACAGTGACCTCACTACCACGGGGACCTCACTGCACCAGGGACCACACTACCACACGGACCTCACTACCACAGGCACCTCACTACCACAGGGACCTCACTACAACAGTGGCCTCACTACCACAGGCACCTCACTACAACAGGGACCTCACTACAACAGTGGCCTCACTACCACAGGCACCTCACTACAACAGTGGCCTCACTACAACAGGGACCTCACTACCACAGGCACCTCACTACAACAGGGACCTCACTACAACAGTGGCCTCACTACCACAGGCAACTCACTCCAACAGGGACCTCTCTACCACGGGGACCTCACTACCACAGGGACCTCACTACAACAGGGACCTCACAACCACGGGGACCCCACTACAACAGGGACCTCACTACCACGGGGATCTCACTACAACAGGGACCACACTGCCACAGTGACCTCACTACAACAGGGACCTCACTGCCACACTACCACAGCGACCTCACTACCTCACTACCACTGACATCTCACTACCTCACTACCACGGGGACCTCACTACCTCACTACAACGGTGACCTCACTACCTCACTGCCACAGGGACCTCACTACCACAGGGGACCTCACAACCACACTACCACGGGGACCTCACTGCCACACTACCACAGGGACCTCTCCACCTCACTACCACACTACCACGGGGACCTCACTACCTCACTACCACAGGGGACCTCACTACCACAGGGGACCTCACTACCACACTACCACAGGGACCTCACTACCACACTACCACGGGAACCTCACTACCACACTACCACAGGGACCTCTCTACCGCAGGGACTTCACTACCACAGGGGACCTCAGTACATAACCAGCTTGTGCCGTGACATCCACACACAAGAATTGGTTATTTCTAAGCCCACGCAACTGCGCAGTATGCACCTGATCACACTGCTTCACTTTGATTTACATTGTTTCGCTGCAAATAAGTGTTGAGGAAGTTCTTTAAAATAAACCGGTCAATTGAGAATAATGAACACGAGAAGGTCGCGTGCCTTCTCTAGAGAAAAAAGGGCTTCTCCTTTCCGCCATTCACGAAGTAGGAAGTAGGAATGGGGGCACTATGTAACACAAAGTAGTTCTCGGTTCTTACGCAGTAGATTTACGTCAACAAACAACTGAAGTGAAACTAACCCCGGAAGGTCGGGTTGCTTCGTTTGAAGTTACAGCCAGTGCGAACGTACGTGTAGTGTACGGGATGTCGCGGTCTCCGACCACGAGGGGACTACTACCATACCGTACACGAGGGCGACGACGGTAATGGATTCGACCCAATACAGTGCAACCTCGTTAGTCTGAAAATCCACTTTCCGGACGATTACTATTGTAACGTCTAAATATATAAAAAGAAAATTGCTCCGAAGCGAAATTTGTTCATTAATATTCTTTACTTCCAGGTAAAACATAACTTTGTTTTTTTATACCCAAGGCTTTGTTTAGGTCAAAACAAATTGTGTGTTATATTTGTTTGTTTGTTTGTTGTGTAACGCCACACTCAGCAATATTCCAACTCTTTGACGGCGGTCTGTCAAATAATCCAGCCTGGACCAGACAATCCAGTGATTGACATCATGAGCATCTATCAAGGCAACTGGGATACGATGACATACAACCAAGTGACATGCAAGCGAGCCTGACCAGCCGAACCCGTTATAGTCGCCTTTTACGGCAAGCATGGGTTGCTGAAGACCTCTTCCGACCCGGATCTTCACGGTGCGGCCTGTTTATAACAGTTTTCTGAAACGTCTATAGGTAATTATTGAATGTGGGACTTATGGGTAATTGAATAGAAAGTATTTTTTCAAACATTTGTTTATAAAATATCATATTTGGTCCACTAGTTTTTAATATTTCCAATATGTTGTTAGTTGTTTAGTTTTAGTTTTATTTAAACGACAAATGACATTTGTTTGAAAGTTTACCGTAATAACGAGAGGGAAATAGTGCCTACGTGCTTGTTCATCACAAGCGGAATGCGACTTGACCTAGTTTCGGCCTGAATACAATCTGCAACTGCGCTCATTTACTGTGGAAAGATATTGTTTATCACATTCAGTATGTAAGGTAGGTAATCGCATAGACATCAAAAACATGGTGGGGTGTTAAAAGTAAAACAGGAAATAAATTGAAACCAATATTGTTCATATTGTTTTAAACATGTCTGTGTTGATTAAACATTTTGAGAAAAAATTATATATTGTAGAATTATTTCAACGAATAAAGAGTTTGCCGCCGTGTTGATGCCTGGCATCACGTTTTTCAAAAATATATTTTTAAAGTGTGTTTTTTCAGACATTCAAAGTCTATTTGCCCTTCACATATGATAGCTAATTTTTATTTTCAGAAAAGGAATGTATTTCTAACGTCTTTAAGCCTGTACCACTGAAATATACCGTCAGGTAACCAACGCGGAAGTGATCACGCGTGTTGGGCCTTGGTCATCAAAAGGATCTTAGATACGTGTCCCACAGCCGTTTTTTGGTGTGTGTTTTTTGTTGTTGTTTTGTATTATATTTTTTTAACCCAGACCGATTTATGCTGAACCACAGAAATATACCGCCTTGGTAACCGTTCCGGAAGTGGTCAAGCGTGTTGGGCCTTGGTCATCAAAGGGATCTTGGCTATATGCCCCACAGCAGTTGGCGTTGGACGTTCGGCGTTGAACGTTCAGTGTGATTTGTTTTAGGGAGAATGTAATTAACTCACTATGGTCGGTATACATACTTGAGGCAACGATAATATATAAATATAAGGCAACGATAATATATATATATATATATATTGGGTGTATTTTTTTAATGATTCATCAGGTAACCAAAGAACTAGGTATTCTTCATTTGTATGTACTTGCGGTCCACATGATTGATGTGAGGCTGACGGGAATGAAAATAAGATAATTAATTAATTAATATGGAAAAACAGTAAAACCAAGGATGGCGACAATGCTTCCACTAATTATACACTTGTTTCATAGTTTGACACATGTTTGGTGTTTAATGGCGTTCGCTGTGAGGCCCAATAGAATACATCTTACAAACATCAGAAAAACAATTCACAACCGACTCATTTGTTTGAAACAAAGTCCCCAAGAAACTCCAAATTTAAGCCTTCTTCTGCGACCATAGGGGAACACAAACAAGATTGTTTTCTTAATTAAAACATGAAAAATAGCATGTTAAACTGTGCGTGTATTTCAATTGCTACAGACGGTCACGGGGGCATGGGGAGTCAGATCATTCAACCAACTTAAATATTCAACAAATGTCCGATAACACTGCTATTCCCCTCTTGCCTGACTCAAACGCTTCGACGCTTTTGCTTAATTAAATTTTCCCTTGCATCAATTGGTTATTTCAAAGATTCGTATTTTTTCCAAGTAAATTTCCCCGGAGAAGCACACGTTTGTGTGCAAACAACTCTCTACAATTGGATGCTGAGCAATTATGTAGCACGCCGTTCGCTCAAAAAATAAATTTTAGAAGGGCTTCATTTTCTAGCTTACTTAATGTTGGGATGTCTGACACATTTGTAGTTTCAGCGAGCCATGAATTGTAATGCTCTTTGGCGTATAGAGATTAGAAGCAATAAAGTCAGCGGGCGTATAGTTTTATGTCTTTTTAAGATACTGGAATTAAACAGCGTGATGGCTGATGTTTTCAAACGCTATATGAAACAGCGATAAATGAAAGGTTAAACAACAGTTGCGCGACCATTAATTCCACAGTTAGCGAGAAGTAATCCTAAACACTTCTCGGCGCACGGACGTTTAGTTAAATAACAACTGTACCTTCATGGGACACAACATAGATAACATCATACTAGTAATGTTTTGAACCATTTTAATAACGTTAACGAGTTATAAGTGTGTTTTGTGTGGTTCCAATAAGATTATAAAGCCAATGGATGGTCATCTATGTCTGTGCCCTGGCCGTGTTTGTGTGAGCTCGAACCCAAAGGAGCGAATTGCTGGCACCATGGTTCCCCACACCATACTCGTTGATCTTTTATATGTACACCAGGGGAAGACCAGATCCCTATTATCCCATGCTTGTCATATGTTCAACTTTGAGGACTGGGTGGTCACAATGTGTGACGGGCTGGTGGTGTGAGATCATGCGCCAAAGGCTTGTATCGATGTACACGCGATTATTTACAGACTGTCAAAATAACTGGAATACTGCAGAGCGCGACGAAAAACATCATTCACGCACGAACATTTCAATGTATACCTATTACATAGCAATTGTTAGCACCGCCGCAACTGTGCAAATTTCTTAGCGGTGAGATTACGCTGCATTCGTAGCGGTGAGATTCCGCTGCGTTCGTAGCGGATCCAATCGGGTTATTCCTCTAACTACATAATACTACCCCGAACAGCAGTGGAGTGAAGAAATTAGGTTCAGTGCTACTATCAAAAATAGTTCAAACATATACGGTATTTTGCTCGGTATCGTTTCACATTGAGGTACCTTTATCAAATTCTGAATGCGGAAGTAAAAAAAATCAAATCTGCCTTCACTGTTGGCTAATAAAAGCGCTAAAACTTCCTGCACGAACCAGCAGTGAAACAAGTTTAGTCCTGGAGGTCTTAATGGAGTAGTAATTTGCATGAATTAAGTGTTAACCATGCAACCGG